ATTTCATTATAAATAAGCTGAGTTTTTTATCATGTATCGATAGAAATTTAGAAAGTTAATTTTATAAGATAATAAAAACTCTTTACTAAATTGTCTCGTAATAAACAAATTGCTTTGTGTCAAACCTGCTTTGTGTTAATCTTGGTTAAGTGATATTAGATTACTTAACGTTATCAACTTGCCTTGTGTCAACCTTAGTTAAGTAATATTGGATTACTTAACGTTATTAACTTGCTTTGTATCAATCTTGGTTAAGTAATTATAAATTACTTAACGTTATAAACCCTGCTTTGTGTCATCCAGGTTTAAGTAACCTTTAAAATTACTTAAATATTATCAACTTAGTTACAAATAAACTTTGTAACGTCAACTGAGAATTTCCTATGTCAAAGGAAATTAATTGTCTTACATTGTGAATTAGAAGTTGTTATACTTACCAATTCTAAAACTTAATTGTAAAAGAATATCAAAGTCAACAATAGACTGAATTAACCAAAATCTCTCCCAAAACTTAATAAAGATTGAGCTAAATCTTGCTGCTACTCAATTGATTACATGTTTCAGTCCGCCTAATCATTAGTTGGATAATAATATGTAATATTCAGTTCACATATATTATTCAGATTACATGTGATACTATAATCTAGGATAAGTAAAATATCATATGTGATATAATTATATCATATGTGATATTTCACTGGACATGCATTAATAGTGACTTATTTAGGAAAAGTAGAGTACAAATTTAGAAGAGTTTCTAGGAATGTAATTCTTTTGTTAATAAAATTAAGATTATCATAGAGTTGTTCTAATTGGATAGCTACATTTAGTTTGTTTATCAAATGATTAAGTTTGTCTGATTAGTATAAGATTAAATGTCATTTATAGGTTTTAGATAACCCTTGAGAGATGGGTAAAGATACTCTAATTCATCCATCCAATTATTATAAGTGTAAATATTATGTTTAGGAAATAATCTATATTATTGTGATCTTTCTCTAAATTAGGTCATAATAATATTGTTTTAAGTTTTTTATTATAATTATCTTCTGGATTAAGTTGATTATCTTTATTCATCATTTGAGCAAATATGATTTTTTTGAAGACAGGTTTACTTGATGCAATATAATTTTTGAATTAAACAGGCTAAAATCTTTGATATAAGTGTTGCATTTGACGATCTTTGAGAATTTATATAGCTTTTCTACAATTATCAGAGTAGTGTTTAGGATGAAACAGATAAAGCAAAGTTTACTATTTAGGTCTGTTCAGATAAGTCTTTTATGATCAAGGTAAATGGTATTTCCACTTTGGGTAGCATGAAGATCTTGCTCATTTATAAAATAAAATACTATGTATTAGAGGTTTCTATAAATAGATTTTGATTTAGAAATAATAAATGCCATAGTATTAACTGCTTTACTAATGAAAATCAGTTGTCACCCATTTGTATTTTTAGGTAGAATAGTTAGTTTGAGTGAAAATTTGATTTATTTCTAATGTTATCATTGATAAGGGTATAGCGATTAATTCAAACCATATCTTTAAGAATAAAGTATTTATATACATAATTAAATTGAAACATATCAGTACATTCCTCAAATATGACTGTAACCTATTATTATAGATTTTTAATAAATAAAATATAGCTTGCTATTTTACCAAAAAAGAAAAAGAGGATCTAATATTTTATACAAGTATGAAGATCAGGATCTTTATGATTTTAATTGACAGTTCAAAGGTAAATTTAATTGTTTTCTATATAACTAATAGGAGAAAGGTCTTATTTCTAATTATGCTATTTTTATTGAGATAGATTTATCATAATCAGCATGAGTTGAGAATCCAATTCTGATGATTTTGGTTTATTTATCATTCAGCTAAGTATACTAAGTCAAATGAAATAGAAGAAAGTTCAAAAAAAAAAAAACAAATGATAATATGCTACATGTAAATCTTGGTATCATAATTCAAGAAATTGCCCTTCAAAAAATCAACTAAAATGAGATAACAATCACAAGATAATGATAAAAAAAATATTTAATATAGCTTTTAATTTGGTTTTAATATTTAAAATATATCACTTATATATTTAATATAAAGAAATAAATATATTATTATAAATTTAAAATTCTAATTATAGAATTTATATGATTAATGAAAGGATACTAATATCTTCCAAATAAAATTATTAATTTTCAAAAAATATATAATTATTTATATATTACAATTAATTTCATAACTTATGAATTACTAATAATTTTTTAATCATATTTAAATACAATATTTTATAGTAATTTTATTATAAAATATTTTTATTTATATTTAAAAAGAAAAAAATGAAAATTCTCAATACACCTCACATTTAACATATGAAGAAATCTTTTTTTGTGATTTCAATTATATTTAATCTCAATTTATTAGTGATTCAGAAATTATAAAATTAGTTATAAATATAATTTATAAAGCAAAATATAATTTATGGAATTTTTTTTAAAAAAATTAATTTTAAATCTAAACTTATTTACTAAAAAAAAAAAATTAAAATTAAAAATTCTTTTCTAATAACTATATATTTAATTTAATTTAAATTTTTTTTCTTTTTATTATTAATCATTTTATAAACAATAAATTAATTAATAATATGATAAGTATTAAATGAATAATAAATTTTTTTGTTATAAAAGAATATTTATTAATTGATTTTGAAATGTTTAATGTTTCATTATAATAGTAATGCAACATTTATAAAGTAAGTAAATGCAAAAATATATACAAAAATGTTAAATGTTAATATTACTATTTTATACTAACATACTACACAATCCTAATGCTTTCCACCAATAATATTGTTACCCATTATTTCTTGAGTACTTGGAATACTTCATAATCATCCACTTGAAAATAATTAGATTTATCCCTAATTTTATGTTCATATTTCAAACCGCCAGAAGCGTAGCTACTCGTTCCTTGATGAGCATTATCAATAATTTTTAATTCATAAAAACCAAATGAAGGGCCAAGTCTATCATGCAATTGTATGGCTTCATTGATTCCATCTTTTTTAATTCTCGATATTTTAGACTTGGATATGATGTTATTGTTGGAACGATGAGCATCACAATAAGGATTCGTTAAAGAAAATATGAAGGAATCACGTGTACCGCGCCATTCGACGTCTCTAGGTGAAGACCAACCGATTGGATTATAACCGCCTATTAATTCTTTCGTTTCGCCTACTCTAACCACAACTATTGTTGCACCTTGACCATCACATTTGTTGTGAAATGTCGCTGCACTAAATCCGTCTCTGCTTCCACGAAACAGCAACCTAAAAAAAAAAATTTATTTTCTTTTAATAAAATAAATAAATAAATGTATCTTGTAAAGTTTAGTTTACCTGAAAATGTATGGAATGGGAAATAAATCGATTTGTGGAGTGGATTCAGAAACGCTCTTTCTATCTATCCAACAAGCAATAAGAGCAGCTTGCTGATGCGTAATAATAGTAGAATCAATTGTTCTCTCCGGTAATGAAAGTGGTATAACTGAAGGACTTATAGGCGGTGATAAAGTTTGATCATTAGTTTGGTTTGTGATGAAATGATTACTAAGACTACTAATATAATTAGACAAGTGAAAAATATTGGAGGATAAGATTGGTGACATTTCAGAAGGCGAAGTTCCAGGACTCACTAAACCACTAGTATTAATGCTCAAACTATTATTATTGTTATTATTATTATTACCGGATTTAGTGGATGAAGAGAATTGACGCAATAATCTAAGTTTAAGATTTCTCGGTAATATTTCAACAAAAGGTCTAACTTTGTTATTGAAATCCTCCAAAGGTAATTGCCAAAATCTAATTAATGGAATACAACGTTGTAATGTTTTTTCAAGAGCACAAAATTCTTTTGTAGACCATTTAAAAATATGATTACTTTTTATATTAAAAGTGTTTGTTAAACCCCAACTAATTAAATAATCCCAAATTTTCCCTTCATCCATGCATAAATCATCTCTTGATAATAACGATACTAATGTTGTTTCATCTAAATCCATAAATTCCTTCGAATCAAAATATCTTTGTGGTTCAGGACATACTATTGATAAACAATGTGATCGTAATTTACTACAAGCGTTACGTTCTATCACTGTATTTAATACATAAAGTATGTTATCCTGAATCCATTTTTGTTTATGTTTTAATAAAAATTCTTGAAGCGGATATATTAATTCTTCAAGTATCAATTCATCTGCTGCCACCAATAACTCCAAGATATCTCCTCCACCTAATTTTTCCAATCCTATTGTCCCACTATATATATATCTACAAATATATATAAACTGAATTAACATTTTTTGTATTTCATATTACTAAAGAAAATAACTCTCTTTATTTTATTTTATTTTTTTAGCTCACCTTAATATAACTTCAAATACAATCGGACTAATATTTGGTTTTTCAAATACAAATCTTTCTCCCTCTTTTCTTGCCCATTTACTCGACAAAGCTGCTCGAAAATACTCTGACCTCGCCCTTAAGATGATTGAATGCGCCTGAAACTCTGGTTGTCGTATGTATCTTTTAGAAGTATTTTTACCACCACCACCGCCACCACCAAGACCATTATTTTCGATGCCTACTCTAATAATGACATCATAGTCTTCTGCATATTCAAGTAGACTACACAAGTTATCTGATAATCGCGGGAAAAAATCCAAAGAATCCAAAGACATTTGTAAATATTCAGTCGAACACTTATTTTTTTAAAAAAAAATAAATTTATTATTATTATATTTATTTATATTTTTAAAAAAATAAATAAAATAGAATAAAAAATAATAGATAATAAAAAATTGGACCAATCAAACATTTATTTATGTGGTTGACACAGTCGGATGACTTTTTTGTTTGTCGATTTAGGCTCATTATTTGTATTTTTATATGGTGTGGCTTAGAATGTCATTATATATGTGATTATTATGGAGTTTTGTGTGAATCATTCTTTTTATGCAGATTTAGGCGTATATTTTACATGCGACATTTCTTGGGATACTAAATATGCTTGTTGATTAGCATTATGCATTTATTTACCTTTTTAGCATTTCAATTGTTGGTTCTTATAACTAACTGTAATATAGTAAAACGTGATCATCAATAATAATGGATCTGCATTAAATACTTATCGCATGAAATTTCTTTGTGTTTCTAAAAGATGAATCATTTTAACCAATTACAGTAACAGTTTATTTATATTGTGGCATGTAAGACAATAATTGGTAAATAAAATGGTAAAAGATTCTAACCTCCCGCCGAAATTTTTTAAAAAAGAGATTTTCGGCGATGGCTTATGATCTTCATGTTCTTTAAAAGGAATTCAATTAAATTCTAATTTTAAGTTATTCTTTGTTTATGAATACTTGTAATATTGATTTATCAATATCAAATATAAAAAAAAAAAATTTTTTGATAAAAGTAAAAAAGTTATATAATATAAAACATTATTATTTTATACTAATTATTATTTATTTTTATTTATTAAATATATTTGTATGATATATAATTATTTTAATAAATATTAAAGTCAAAAAAAAATATATAATTTATATTTTTATACTTATTTATAAAAATTTATTATAAAAATTAAAGAACCTTATATTTTTTTAATATTATTAGAAATATATATCTAATCATTAATCAAAGTTTTTTAAAAAAATAATATTCTAAAAAAAAATAAAGAAAACAAAATTTAAAAAATTCCCTTCAAAAGGTTTATTAAGTTTTGAAAAGAATTTTCCTAAAAAAAAAATAAAAAAAGAGTTAAAAACTATTCAAAAGTCATCTTTAACTTATTTATCTTAATTTCAAAATAAGAATTTTTCTAAATAAAAACAAGAAAATAGAAAGAAAAATAATAAATTTCCAATAAAAATATTATTTTCAATTTATTTATCTTATTTCAAAATAAGAATTTTTTTAAAAATAAAAAAACTAAAAAATTATTTATAGAAAAGTATTAAAAAATCCATATAAAAATTATTTTCAAATGATTACTTTAGTTTCAAAATAAGAATTTTTTAAAAAAAAAATGAAAAAAAATCAATAATAATTATCTTAACTATTGTTATACTTGAAATAATAATTATTTTAATTAAATATATATATATATTATCAAAGTGAGAATTTTATTTCAATTTTTTATAAAGTTCTAAACAGATCAAGTTAGATCAATCAACTCATAAATCTAACTTAAATAACAGGTCAGACAGATTAATTTAACCTGAATAACAGGTCAAATAAGTTGATTTTAATCTGTGACTTGTATATCATTCTAAGAAATGATAATATATCATTTCAAAAAAACAATAAAAAATTATTCTAAAAGAAGAATAATGTATTATTTCTTAAGAATAATAAAGAAATTATTTTAAAGAATGATAATATATTATTCTATAAAAATCATTCTAAAGGAATAATGATATTTATTTTTTAAAAACAATAAAAAAATCATTCTAAAGAAATGATTATACATCATTCTGAAAGAATAATAAAAAATCATTCTAAAGAATGATGATGTATCATTTTAAAATAATGATAAAGAAAAAATTATTCTAAGAAATAATGTATCATTCTGAAAAAATAATAAAAAAATATTCTTTCAGAATAATAATATATCATTCCTTAAGACCCTATAAATAATCAGTATAAGGAAAGTATACGGAAATAATACGTTTTTTAAACGTATAAAAACGTAGAAAAACAGTATAATAAATTCGTAAATATTTCCGTATACAAGATACTGAAAATCGTCTTTTTCCGTAT